TGTTGAATAGTACGAGGATCAATTATTCGTATCTTGAAGCAATTCAATAATCCTTTATTTAAATTTAATAAATACAAATTGGAGAGGTATTATAGTATATGCACGTTTTGGAAAAGACATGAAGATGATTTGAGATTGGTCCCAAAATTTGTGGGCAAGAGAGCTGTGGAATAGTGCGAGTAATGACTCTTATCTCGAAGCAATACGACAAATACATGTGATTGAACTGAATGGCCCATATGAACATCGACCCATTTTAAAAATATCATAAAGTTCAGATTAGCAATTGTAAATTTTTCACAGTGAAGCAAGTGGCCCCAAAGGATAGCACATCGTATGTACAATTAATAAATCAAAAACCTTTTCTTCTCGTTATGTTGCCAAACAGTCAATACAAAGTTCATAACAATTTTTTTTTCTTTGTTTACAATCGAAAATTCATCAGCTTTTATGTAACAACTATTTTTAAAATGTTTTGCTTGTAAAAGTTTTATAGGTAAATGCTCTTTTTAAAATGATGGTTTGACCTCTAACATGTCGCTTCGACTAATGTGCTCAATCCACTTTAGCCTCTTACCTTGGTTGCCTCGATTAGACCAAGTTAGCAAAGTGATGTGGATTGCAGGCCTTGAATGGTTTCTTGCTATTTCTTTTTACAATAGTCCTTCAAATATATGAATAAATGTTTATATAAGGCGTAAAATTTGGCAGGAGCGTGAGATGAATAATAGATGTGGAGAGGACTTACAAATTGCCTCTAAAATTTAATTTGACGAAGGTGATTTAGTGATTGATGTACAATATCTAGTAGACCAAGTTGAAGAAATGACGATGCTATATCTTGTAGTTTACTATGATTGAAGAAGTAGCGGTGTGTTCCAATGGTACTCATCCCAAGATGACATTAAGGCAAAGTGAAGTTGCCTTGTTGGTAAAGCGTAACAGTGTTAACAAGGATTGTAGAGCATGAATCATATTCAAAGAAGGAATATGCAGCCGAGAAATCAAACTAAACTATTTACAAAATAATTTAAAAAGGGGCTAATTACAGCAGCGATACCAAACATTTTATTTAGTAGCATACTTTGACCAAACATTTCATTTATGTCACTCACCGTACTAAACCTTTCATTTTTACCACCAACGGTACCAAACCTTTCAAAATGTCCGCAACTGAAGTCTAAATGGATGATTTCTGTTAATTTAACCGTTAGTTGACCAAATAATTGATTTTGACAGTAATGTTGACTGATTTTAAAAGGTTAATAAAATAACCAAAATCAAATAATTAAATTAAAAACTTATTCCACCTTTCTTTTCTCCATCCATCCCACCCATACCACCCTCGCCCCAAATCTGCAAATTTGGTTTGAAACTTCGAGAATACTTCAACAAGCTCGGGAATGGAGTCCCCAGAACTTTATGTGCGCTCTACTATAATGGCAGTGGCTCTAAGGAACTCTGCTTGTGCATTTAGCCCAAAACTTCATCTTGGTTGACCATGGAATCAGAAACCCAAAACTTCAGAAACAGTTCATCATCTTCCCATCCCCACACTTACCCCCACCTTCCCTCACCCAACCCCAACCAAATGAACCAAAATCCACCCACCTCCACCGTACCAACGTCTAGGCAGGCTACAATGACCGCCACAAGCGCCCCTGCAAATTAGCAACAAGAAATGGACTTTACCAGAAACTTGTTTAGACGTCATACAGAAAATACTTAAACCCTTTTCAATCTCTCATCTCTTCTTCTCCTCTTTGGTTGAGATGGTCTCTTCGACAAACCATTTCAACAGGAAATCTATATTTTTATCGAGATGCTTCATTTCTCTTCGATTGTTAAGGTCCAAATCTCTAATCCGACCTATTTAGATCTACATAGTTGGGCAATAGGTTTCTGACACCTCGAAGATTCGAAGATGTTGATTTCCCAAATTTGCAGATTTAGGGTGTGGGTGGTATGGGTGTTATGGATGGAGAAGAAAAAATGTGAAATGAGTTTTTAATTTTAATTATTTGATTATGATTATTTTATTATTTAAAAAATATAAAATTACCATTTTAACCTTTTAAAATCAGTTAATATTATTGTCAAAATCAATTATTTGATCAACTAACGGTTAAACTAACAGAAATCATTCATTTGGACTTCAGCTGCGGACGTTTTTAAAGGTTTCGTACCTTTTGTGGCAAAAATGAAATGTTTGATACAATAGGTGGCACAAATGAAAGATTTGGATAAAGCCTGCTACTAAATGAAAGGTTTGATATTGCTGCTGCAATTATCCCTTAAAAAAAATCTTACTTTATGTGGAGAAATCTAATTCATTAACTTAATCAATATTCATTATTGACTATATGATCTAAACGATTTGGCATACCAGCGAGTAAATGAGACTATATTTGCATAGTTGAATTTGATTAATTTTTTTTTTTAGCGAACTTTTCTAATTTTACGATTACATTTTGTATTACTTGTATAGCTTTAAACTTACGTTCAATAAGTTTTATTTTAGACGTTGTATTGAGAAATATTCATTACTGACTATATTTGGATAGTTGAAATTTGTTAATCTTTCCTAAGTGACCTTTGATAATAGTTAGGATTAAATCTTGAATTGTTTTGTAGCTTTAAGCTTGTATTAGTACGGATTCTTGTTAAACATTTATGTTAGATTGAGAAATGATTACTTTATCTTCTTTGAAAGAGGTTACACCACATCCCACGAAGTAGGCCATGTGGCAGCTAACTAAGAAATAGCCACCAGCTACTCATGGCCGGCACTTCACGTCATTTTGCCTGCCGGCCTAATCGAGGCAATCAAGACAAGGCCGAAGTGGATTAAGTACCTACGCCAAAGCAATATGTTAAGAGGCTGAACCTTCAAGTCCAAAGCGAGGTGCCACGAGTTGTTGTAGCATATTTTCGAAGCAATGAATCTTCATTTCACAAGGCATCTTCCATAACATCGTTTTGACCGAAAGATCTAATTTTGTACGAGATCTTCCATATGTCTGATTGATTTGACAATTTTGCAACAAACGTTTCTCAGTCAATTTTTAGTCTACTTTTCAAGCGACATACCTAACACATAACAGTACGTTAGGAAGGCTAAGAATACCAAAGTCATTCGAGTACGGGTGATGCTTTGCCTCATACTCAGCGATGACTTGTCTCACTTCTAGCTGAGAATCACCCTTCTTATCGTGGATGGATCGCATGCCCAGTGCCGCAGCTAGTTCTAATCCGATAAGCAAGGCTTCATACTCAGCTACGTGGCAAATCTGATTGGTTGACGTCTTGAAAAATGTTGTGGGCCTCTAAAGCATTAAAATACTTGGCCATTCTCTCACCATGGCACTTTTTAGTGTATTTAATGTCGTCTCTGATTTAGGATCGCTATATATGACACTTACGAGATCTAACCTGTGAGCCATTAAGATGAGGTCACATGTCACACATCCAGCAGTAAAAACTTCTTCCTTTTAATTTCTAGACAGTACTTTTCTAGTTTTGTAATGTGTATCAAAACAATTTAAAAGATTTTGTACCATCCATTATATAAAATTATGGGAAGCAAAGAATCAAAATTAAGAGAGAGTGGAAAAAAGTGTCTATTTCATGGAAATATGTGGACTGCATCAATCAGTTACAATGT